GTCACTGTGTGAAGCCATCTACTTCAGGGTCTATGCAGCAGTCACTGTGTGAATCCATCTAGTTCAGGGTCTTCCTCTCTTTCACTGACCCTCCATCTTTCCAAGCATAATGTCCCTGTACTGTTTGCATGTTGTTATTGCTGTTATGCACCATCGAGGTGCTTGCGACTCATAGCGACCCTACGTACAACAGCTCTGAAGCCTGCCTATTCTGAGCCAGTGTCACTGTCTCCGACACATCTACACCCATTACCTCAGTCTTTGTGTCACTTCATCTCATCTGCAGTTTTCCTCTCCTGTGCTGTTCCTTCATCCTTCCAAGCATGATATCCTTCTCCAAGGACTGGTCCCTCCAGGCTATGTGCCCAAAGTATGTGAGACAGAGCTTCAAAATCCTAGCCTCCAAGGAGAAACTTGATTTCACCCTCTCAAAGACAGACATGTTTATTCTTTTGGTGGTTCATGCTATGTTCAATACTCTTCCCCAGGACCACAAATGAAAGGCATAAATAATTCTTTTGTCATCCTTAGTCACTGTCCAGCTCTCTGATGCACAGCAAATAACTGAAGATCGTGGCCTGAATCAGGTGCACCTTAGTCTCTAGACTAACACTGTTGCTTCTCAGTACTCTGGAGAGGTCTCTGACAGCAGATTTTCACAGAGCAATTAATCTTTTCATTTCCTGACTGCTCGTTCCAAGAGTGTTGATTGTGGAGCTGAGCAAGCTTATTTTTTCTATCCATTCCATTATTTCTATTCCATTTGCAGACAGAATTCAGCTTAATTATGTCTGTAAATGCAAAGTGTGTCTCTGGTAGAGAGGATATAGTTCATGTTCTTAAACTCATTCCTACAAATCTTTGAATTCTGATTGAAGAGTTTTGTCAATTTATATTTAATGTATTCAATAGTAAAGCAGGATTTACATCTGTCATTGTTGTTTGTTTCCTGGATGTTTTAGGTCTTAGCTGTTCCAGTATTTCTCCATTATTACTTTCTTTTGTGTCAAGTAATGTATTTATTTATATATGCATTATTTAGTTAGTTGTTGCCCTAGGGATAATTTTAAAGCAATCTATTTCAGATTAACAGTAGTTAATTTTCAACAGTACATAAAAAGTTATCTCTAATATAATTACATTCTTTCCCCCCTCCCTGTGCTATTGTCTTTATAAGGATATAAAAATTAGATTTTTTATGCACTCTAAGTTTATCAACTGTTTCATAATTATTAATTTATGTAGCTATTTTAAAAAGTCAGATTTTATAACTTTCTCATAGAGCTACAAACAAAAAGATGTTTAGACTTTTAAAAAGTACTTATAAAAAAAATTACTTCTTTTATGTTTTCTTTTCCAGGCAGGTCAGCAGTGCTAAATTATCTTAATTTCTTTTTATTGGGACATGTCTAGATTAATCAAAGCAAGAATTACTGATAAGAATTCTGAGAAGTGGAAACATCTATGGAAAAGATACTAAATATCATAATAAATAAAAACACAGTGGCAATAAAATGAATCCAATCTGACAAACATAGCATGTGGTTAAGGTCACAAATTCATAAATAAATTGGGTGAAGGGAAAGGCCACACAATAAAGGGCTGATTTGACACTGTAACAAACTAGCCACATTAATATAATCAGTGTCATAAAATGAAAGAACTATGGATGATTGTATGAAAAATCAGTATGACTTGCAAATAAAATGTACACTGTCCCTATTGTCTGAAAACACACCAGAGGGGCAACTATGAGGCTCTGACTCGAAGGCTAGGTTGTTATGAGAGTGAACGAGAGGCTGAGAAGCTCTGGTGGAGCGGTCCACAGCAAGCTGTGTTGCTAACCCAAAGGCGGAGCCTCTCAGGTGGTTTGAATGTATAAATGGCTCCGCTGCAAAAAAGATGGGCACTTTCTTCTGGTGCGATAGACAGCCTACAGACTCTTCACTGACTAGGCAAGAGTTGGTACTGACATAAAGACAACAAATTTGAGTTTTGGGCAGTTTTTTTTCTGGGAGTTCTAAAACTTTCAGAAATAATTACCAGAAGTCTAAAGTGTTAGATGTGAAACTATATATATATATATGTATATATATGTGTATATATATAATGTGTGTGTGTGTATGTGTGTGTGTGTGTGTGTGTATATGTATGTATACCAAGAGATGAGAATATAGTAGAAACAATGAATTATTACACTCTGAAATAACTGGTGGTGGTCTTTTGGGTGCTGCCAAGTCAAGTACGACTCATAGAGATCCTACGAACAACAGATCTGAACCCTGTCTTATCCTGTGCCGTCCCCACCATCTCTGACACATTTCTGCCCAGTGCTGCAGTCATTCAATGTCTACCTTGTTGAGGATGTTTCTCTCTTTCATTGACCTTTCCAAGCATGATGACCCTTTTCAAGGAATAGCCTCTCCTAAGAACATGCCCAAAGTATGTGAGACAGAGCTTCTCTATCCTTCCTTCTAAGGACTGAATAATCTGGAATACATTTGTCCTAGATTGACCAATGTCTCCTCAACACTCACGTTTGTTCAGAATCTCAGCAGGCATATTTGACTATATGGTCTTTGCTGATGTAATTAGTTAAAATGGGGTCATACTGGGTTGGGATTGGCCCCAGGTCCAATGACTAGTGTCTTTGCAAGAGAAAAATGAAGGAGATTAGGATACAGAGACATAGACACACAGAGAGAAAACACCATGTAAAATGGACACTGGAGCTTTGGACTATGAGCTAAGGACTTGAAGCAACCACCGGAAGCTAGAAGAGAGACATAGGAGGGATTGTCTTTAAAAGCCTCCAGGAAGAACCAGCCCTGCTGTATTTTGATTTTGTAACACTTGCCTCCTGAACTATAAGAGAAAACATTCTCATTGTTTTAAGTTACCCAGTTTGCTATGGCAGTCCTAGGAATTATTACCACCTCTGAGCAAATTTCTTTTAAATGGCTTACAAAGAATGAATATAGTATAATAATGACCACCAAATAGCTGTGGAGGCCATTACAGTGTCTGAAAACATACTTCAGGAGCAGCTATGGCTCATGGGACGTGATTCCTTGGTGTGGAGGTTTAGAGTAATGGTTTTATGGGACATCCCAGTTAACAGGCCAAATGATGTGTTTAGTGCTTCTGTTCTTCTATTTAGTTTGGTGTGTGGGGTCTGGGGTCTTAAAAGCATGTAAGTAACCATTCAGTATGTAGTTGGTCTGTATTCACTGTAGCAACAGAGGAAGATGAAGAGTCAGGAAGAGGAGCAGGATACAGAACGTGCAGTTAAATGGCAACTTTGCCATGAGATTTGAAGAAATGGATGGTGTGCAGCTATTGAACAGCTGAACATTTTAATCTACAATTCCATAGCAGTATCCTGATCAAAAGGGGCAGATGAAGAACAGAATTTCAAACTGTCATAATAGACGCTAGACTTTCCGGAGCCATGAGGGGGTGAATGAATCCCTGAAACTGATTTCTCTGATATGCTGTTGTAATAATGTGCCACTGAGTTGGCTGCAACTCATGGTGACCCTATGCATAAGAGCTCAGCTAATCTCACTTTCTCTGATACACCTGCCCCTTACCCTAGTCACTGTATCAATTTGTCTCATCCAGGGTCTTCCTCTCCTGTGCCATCTATCCATCCTTCCAAGTATGATGTCCTTCTCCAAGGACTGATTCCTCCAGGCAACATGCTGATTGTATGTGAGATGGAACTTCAAAATCCTTGTCTCCAAGGAGAAACTTGGTTTCACCCTATCTAGGCTAGACCTGTTTATTCTTTTGGCAGTTCATAGTGTGCTCAATACTTCTTTCCAGCACCACAACTCAAAGGCATCAATTCTTCTTCTTTCATCCTTAGTCACTGTTCAGCTCTCTGATGCACAGCAAGTAATTGTGAAGATCATGTATCAGGTGCACCTTAGTCTCCAGTCTGACATCATTGCTTCTCAGCACTCTGGAGAGGACTCTAACAGCAGATTCTCTTCTCCATCTATTATGATGCGGCCAATCGGCCCAGTGGTGAGAATCTTCATTTTCTTCATGCTGAGCTTTCATCTATATTGGAGACTGTAGTCCTTGACCTTCTGCAGCAAATACTTCATACAGGTCTTCTTCAGTCTCAGCAAGCAAGATTGTGTCATCTGCATAATGCAGGTTGTTGACGAGTCTTCTTCCAATTCTGATGTCACATTCTTCTTCATCAAGTCCAGTCTCTCAAATGATCTGTTTCAAATATAGATTAGAAAGGTGTAGAAATAGACACATCCCTGATGCACTCCGTTCCTGATTTTGAACCATGCAGTGTTTCCTTGCTCTGTTCTGAAGAGATTATCAGTGATATTGTTCAATAACATCCATATTAACTCCTGAAGTCTTCTCAAAACTAATCAGCAGTTGAGCTAGCCAAAGAGGCTTCTCTTGGGCAATATGCTCCTTTACAAATTACTTATATGGGATCAAAGTGAAACAGTAACTTGAAAAATTAGATAGGACTCTTAGGGAACTTAAGTTAATGAGAGAATCAGAAATCCAAGAATGGTTGTAAAATTTGAAGAATGTAATCAATGTTGCTAAATTATACATGTAGAAACTGTTGAATTAGGATACGTTTTTCTCAGCATGGGGGCAGGGGTGGGGGAAGACAGGCAAAGGAGAAGAAAGGCTTGAGAAAAAAACCTGCACAGTCAGAACAACATGCGACAGCATTAGATAGAGATATGATGGCTGTGGAGTTCTTACTGAGAAGAGTGGAAGACAAACAAGATGAAGCCAGAAAAACAAGCTAGTTCTGATAATGCAGAGCTTAGTGGGCAGTGTTAAAGTATTTGTGATTTATTTTCAAATAACTATGTTTAGGTAACATAGTGCACCACCTATTTCTTACCAGTAAATCACTTAGGCTCTCTGAGAACATAAGGATTCACAAGTAATTTATTCTTACCTCATCATAAAGGTGTATTCATAATAAAGAAGAAGTGTCTACTTACCGTATCAAGTATTTCTTTGGTATGAGCTGCCGACAAGCAAAATCTAGCTCTGGACTCAATAATAGGGGTAGCAGGAAATCCGACCACAACCACACCAATGTTCCGCTTCAACATCTCCCGCCCAAAGGCGCTGTGAGGGGAAAGAAAATAATGGAAAATAAGCCAGGAAGCCCAGAGTACAAAGTGTTCTGACTGATTTAGACTCTCTGGTAATGCAGCTATTGGAGACTTCTGTTAGGAGCTTCCTTTAACGTCTCTTAAAATGAGAACAGACAGTTCACAAAAACACCTCTTATTCCTCCTTTCATCCACAGGGTGGTAGTCTCCCAGATGGGTTCCTTCACAAAGGTGAACGAAGAGCTGACGGACCAATTATCAAGGCAACTGATCTAATGACAATTGTAACTGAAGCCTTAAAGAGTGTCCCTGATCTAACAGGGGCTCAGAAGCTTCCAAATGAACGTGAGTTTAAAACCTGGTCCTCGAATTGACAGGATTGGCAGTCTGCTGGGTCTGTAGGTACAGGGACATCCTCCTACAGACAGGCTGGCCAACTGATGGGAGCCTTTTAGGAACAGACGATTCTTTGACAGTGCCTGCTTTTGGAATTCAGATTTTTTTTCGTCTTTTGTTTGCCTGGTTTTGTGGTTTGTAAGATTAGCCCATCTTCCTATTTTTCTGAGGCACCTCTGGGTAGATCTGAACTTGTTACCTTCCAGTTAGGAGCTGGGCACTTGCCATTTTACCACCCAGGGACCTCAGGTTAGATACAATCCTCTCTATAGATACAATCTTTTCTACAGAAAGGATTCTTGACAAAGTGAAAGGATTATTGACAAAGCGAGTCCTCCAGGTCCAGCAATCCTTCCAGTTTATTTATGATAATTCTATTTAAAGAAGAACAAGGAAGACAACCTGTGCTGTGGTTCTTCCCTAACATACTCTCTGAAGACTACATTGCCAAGTACTCACACGGCTTTTTGACAAATGACTCATGATTTCCCCTTGGTAAGCCACTGTTCCCCAATTTCTCCTCAAACCAGCAGGATTCCCAATGTAATTCTTCCTGCTAGTCACTTCAGCAAAAATTAACTGGACACCCCCGGCGAGGCAGGGGCTGTGGCAGGCACTGGTAATTCAAAGACACAGAAAAAGGTCTGCTCCTTGGATGAGTTCTGTTAAATATGAACAGTGAAATACATCCAATCTTATATTTAAAATATAGCTCAAAACTCATTCATCCTGAAAAGACATTTTTTCCCACTTACTTTATACTATACAAAGAAAACCACTTCTTTATTCTTATCTCCTGTGTACTTTTGCATAGAACTATTTTTCATATAGTTACACTGATTCCCATTTGCTTTTCAAATAGCTTTTGGTTTTGTTATACATATGGTCTTTTCAAATACACTGAGAGCCATTCCAGGGTAAAGTTTTCCTTAATGTATATTTTGCATGAACCAAACAAGCTCGTGCAATCTGCACATCTGGTAACTATCCAGTAACACACTCTGCTATCAGCCCTCTGACCTCGCAGCCACTGACCCCCTTGGACCTTGCACTCTGGCTCCGCTGACCTCTTTGCTATTCTTCCATCAACAAGACAATTTTTGTGATACAGCCTTTATATGAGTGTTTCCCCAAATGGATCTGAGTTTCTTTTAGTCTTTGCTGAAATGTAGTGTTTTTGGAAGCAAATTCTCAGTAAGGCATACCCTAACTACTTTCTTTAATGTACTCTGCCCGCCCAGAAGGGACTATCAACGTGCTCTTCCTGATCTGTTTTCTCCTATAGCCTATCTTCTAACACACAACCAAATCCACAGTCTTCTGTCTCTCTGACTCTGGCTTTCACTCAAATGGAAGCTTGTCTAGGATGTGGATTTTTAAAAATTCTGTTCGCTGATCCATACCACTCTCCTGACACAGTGCCTTAACACAGGACCAAGCTTAGGGGCAGAGATAGGCGGGACTAGGGCACTGTCAACTGTCACAAAGTGAAAACAGCCACCCTGCTGGATTCACAAAACAATCACATGTTTGTTGAAAGAAAGAAGAAATATTTTAACAAATTTTATAATTTAGAATGCACTGTTTAGTAGCAGATCAAGCAAATAAAGCTTATGAACAAGAGACCCAGACATTTTTCTCCTAACAAAATCCATAGCCCTTAGTCTCCTATCACAGCTACTGAAAGTCTTGTGTGACAGACATCCCTCATTTTCTAACAAAACACACCCAATTTTGGCTGGCATGTAGAGCATCAAAGGCACCACTGGAGAGTCTTCATTTCCATAGATGATGAAGCCCATCTCTTTCAGGCGTCTCCTGAAATATCTGGTGTTCTCAGCTAACTGCTGCACGCACTCTTTGCCTGGAAAAATCACAGGGAGAGAAAACACAAAATAGCACTAAGAAAAAGGAGTGGAAAAGGGGCAATGATCTCTTCCTCCAGCTTGTCTAACTAGTTCTATTTTATGCCTTCATTTCCAATGCAAAATAATTTGGCACAGTAAATACAACATAGAGAGGAATACAAATAGGAATATAGATTTTTGTACTTATTAAACTAATATGAAGCCTTAAAACATCAAGATTCAAGTTAGGACATCTGCTATTTTTGCTTTGTATTTTACCATATGAAGTGCTGGTCAGAGGTCTTCTATCAATTTAGAATATAAAGTTTAACAACTAAGAGTTTAAGCATGATAGCATCCTTAAACAATTTCAACCATTTGACATGTCCAGGAGGGAGTGGTCCTTGGAAAGGGACATCATGCTTTGAAAGGTAGAGGAGTAGCACAGGAGAGGAAGACCCTGGAAGAGATGGAATGATACAGGAATTAGGGCAATGGAGAAAGGTGTGTCGGAGTCAGTGAGACTGGCTCAGGGCAGGGCAGGCTTCAGAGCTGTCATACATAGGGTCGCTATGAGTCACAGGTGACTTAACAACAACTACATGTTGTTATTATGTGCCGTCGAATCACCTGTGACTCACAGCTACCCTATGTATAATAGCTCTGAAGCCTGCCCTGTCCTAAGCCAGTCTCACTGACTCTGACACACCTTCTCCCATTGCCCTAGTTACTGTATCAATCCATCTCATCTGGGGTCTTCCTGTTCAGCGCTGTCCCTCCACTCTTCTGAGCATAATGTCCCTTTCCATGGATCAGTCCCTCCTGACCACGTGCCCGAAGTATGTAAGACGAAGCTTCAAAATCCTTGCCTCCAAGGAGAAACTTGGTTTCACTCTCTCCAAGACAGACCTATTTGTTTTCTTGGTGGTTGATGGTATGTGTGTTCAAGACTCTTCTCCAGCACCACAACTCAAAGGCATCAATTCTTCTTCTGTCATCCTTAGTCACTGCCCAGCTCTCAGAGGCAGAGCAAGTAATTGTGAAGGTTATGGCCTAGGTCAGGTGGGCCTTAGGATATTTATTATCATCTTAATTTTCTAGATTAGAAGATCCTTACAGAGGTACAGATTTGCCTACAGTAGTAGCATATACAGATGGCATCTGCGATTAGAATTCTGATCTGCTAACTAAGCCTGCTGTCATTCATTTGATACCAAAGACTAGAGATAAATCCATTCAGGAACAAAAGTTTTCTCAATAGTTGAATCTTTGTTATGTTTCCTTAAATTTTTTTAGAAAAAAAAATCTATAATAACAAAGTCAAATCCTATTTTCAATCCTCTTTGTTTCATCTTCCCCAAAATGCTAATGGATTAAAGTATATATAGCATTCTAATTGCTAAGAAGACTAAATTTTTGGTCAGTTTTTGACACTATAAAAGACCAGTCTGGGGCTTCTTTTAATCGCCTTTCATCCTTGTTCCCTGTGCCAACCTGTTTGCTACCTACGAGGAGGCGACAAGATGAAGGGAACGTCATCGTTTGGAAAGCGTCGCAATAAGACGCACACGCTGTGCCGCCGCTGTAGCTCCAAGGCCTACCACCTCCAGAAGTCCACCTGTGGCAAGTGTGGCTACCCTGCCAAGCGCAAGAGAAAGTATAACTGGAGTGCCAAGGCTAACAGGCAAAATACCAACGGTACTGGTCGCATGAGGCACCTAAAGATCGTTGACTGCAGATTCAGGCATGGATTCCATGAAGGAACAACACCGAAACCTAAACAGGCAGCTGTTGCAGCATCCAGTTCATCTTAAGAATTCCACTGTTTAGTTATGCAATAAATGTTCTGGTATAATAAAAAAAAAAAGACCAGTCGGTGAACACATATATAAAATTGTTCAGTTAGTCAGATCAAGCCAATAAATTTTAAAGATCAGCTCATCATGAGCTAACAACTGCTTTGTGATATTCTTAACTATAAATATTCATGATTAGAAATGAGTATACTTTCTCACAAATGTTAGACTCAGCTTATTTAAAAAAACCCAAACCAAAACCCAACTCAAACAGCATACAAAATGCCTGACACACTATCCAATCAGAAATGTCTGACACACTATCCAATCAGAAACGTGTAACTAGAAAATATCCTTTTAAGCATACTACTACACTAGAACATGCATCATTGATGCTGAGAGACTCGACAGAAGTCTGCTGCAACCTGAAAGTAATACTTGTTACGTAGAAAATGAAAAGATGGCCAGAGAAATAACACTCAAATTTAGCCTAACATCAAAGAACATCGTTTAAATTATATATGTTCATGTACGTTACAAAGACTAAAACTTAAGTCTATGATTCTTTAAAACGTTGAGAACTGATGAGCCAAAGTGCCCTAATCTCTCACTGATTCATTGTGGGTGAATTGAAACCAATTCACAGCAGACCTTCCGAGTGAGTTCTCTGAGGCTGTAAGCCGCGTGGACGAGACTGCCCACCTTCCCCTCACGGAGCAGCTGGCGGAGCTGAACCTCCAGGGAGGCACCACCCTCGGGTGAGCAGCACCTCTCCCTAGCGACTATGCCACCAGAGGTCAATCTCCCACTAGAAGCAGCAACACATAATGACATTTAGAAAGACTTCATTCTGACCAAGATGGTGTAGCAGGGACCAAATTTACCTTCTTGCTGCCGAACAACAGAAAATGGGACAAAAATCACATTTTGGACATTGGACCACAGGCAGTGCAGGACTCCTGCCAGAAGGGAAACAAAAGGGTGAGCCTTAGGATCGCCCGCCAACCTACTGGCTGGAACAGGTTCCACACTGCAGCCCAGGAGGAGGAGACTGGAGGGTGGGAAGGGTCTGGTGGTGGAATTTTTTTGACCCGCAGGGGGGTTCTCTTCTCTGCAGAGGTCTTTGGGCAAGTATTTTATATGTTCAAAAGAGTAGAGGAAAACACAATATTAAGAGAGAAAGGAAATGTAAACAAAGGAGCAAACCACAATAAACACAATTTTAAAAAAAATAATCTCCAAGCAACATGGTGAGTTAAAGAAGCCAGACACCAAGACTACAGAGTTATTCTCTGCTTTTCCAAAAAGTTCACTTATTTCATTTTTATCAGAGCTCTACATTAGTTTCTGCTTTCACTAACTGAAAGAAGCTAAAAAAAGGGTTGTTGTTTTCACAAAGAAAAAAAGGCATAAAACAAAACTAGCATGCTGTATTTGTTTCGCAGCAGTCCATCAAATAGGCAGTGCTCACCCTGAACTGTGAGAATGACGCGGACAAGTCCCTTCCCCAGGAACTACCATCAACACTGCAGCCTCGAGCAGCCAGGGCGTGGAACCGTGTCTGTGAATACTGTATGATAATGTTCTTTTAAGTTTTACGTGCTATTTGGTAGGGGAATTCTTTTCACTCTTTTAAAAAAATTAATTTTAATGAAAGTTTACAAAGACTTTGGATTTCCACTCATTCATTGTTGCACTTTTCTCCCTGCCCAACTCCCCCCAGTTCGCTCTTCTCTTTGAAAAGTAAAATTCTTTCATTGTTATGCAATCTCTCCCCCCAAGTCCACTCCACTATACAGCCTTCATTCTGGACTCCTGTCATGACAATAACATCTAATCATATATCCCTTTTAAACAGTTCTTTCCCTCATCACCAACGCAGTATGCATAATTGATCCCATGGGCGGGGGGAAAAGTGCGGCAATGAATGAATGGAAATCCAAAACCTCTGTAAATGTCTATTAAAATGAATAATAATAATAAAAAAATACATGATAATGACAAATCAATTACCTTTTAGAGGTGTACTCCTTGATGAGTATTGAGAAATTTATGCAATTCTATAACTACCATTACACCTCAGATAGAGAAAATTTCTATCATTCTAAAAATTTTCCTCATCTATCATATATGTGGAATTTAAGGAATTCCAGAGCACTTACTTGTGCTCATGCAAAACTTATCCAGGGAGATACTGTGTAATTAAAAACAAGGGAAGGTGTGTTAGGGTTATATCCTTTCCACATACCCATTCAGTCTGTATGCTGAGCATTTATTAAAGATTCCAGACTATATGAAAAACAATGCAGCATTAGGAGTAGAGGAAGACTTATAAAAAACTTATGCTATGTCATACTCTTAGCTCACAAAAGAAAAATAAGGGAAAGAAGAAATGTAAATACTTCAACTTTAGCACTGACTGCCAATTAATTCTAAGTAAGTTTTCATAGGAAATAGAAATATCATCCCTAAAAAAAAAGAAATATCAGCCCTATGATGTGTTCCTTGAGAAGAGATTTAAGGGAAAAAACCAAAAACCTTCAATAAAAATACTGTAAGTCACTGTTATTGCAGTGCTTCTCACCCACAGCAATCCTGTACTACACAGAACTGAAAATACCAGGAAAGGGACGGAAAACTCCCAATGTATATATTGTTATTTTTGTGGAGGAGTATTCCGATGTAAGGCTATCCCACAGTTTGCTTCTCCACTGTTTATCCTACCTGTTGAGGGACATTAGAGTTCGTTCTATCGATCTTCATTTTGGCAGCTATAAAGTTTACAATAAAAATAACTCTTCCTAAATACATATTTAAATACCCTTGTCATATTGTTATAACCAAACAAGAATTACTGAAACCAGCAATTAACAACTCAATTTCATTTGCTCTTAACTGCTTTCAGTAGATGGCAAAAGAATGCACTATTTATACTTCACACATAAAGAAACAGGCCCAGAGATGTTAAATGACTTTCTCCCAGGTCTTTTATTTAGTAAGAGATAAAAGATGTTCTTTAGAAGAGTTTTCTCTTCTACACCGCACCATGAAGGGAATCCACTTTTACATTTTAAAGTGTAACCCTTTATTGGGCAACAAGAGCTGCACTTTAAACAGCTCTGCCTGGCAGCTACACGGCGCTGTAGTGAGTTGGGTGAAGGAGCCTCAAGAGACACAAGGTCAGTATGACAAAAGGTGGAAAGTGCACCCACTCCTCCTCA